CAGATCTTCATTGATGGCTGAAAGACATCTGTCTCCATTTATCTGTTTACTACAGTTGTTGAATTCATGTTAATGTGGATTTAAAGACATTTCAATTAGTGGAAAATATTGCACAATGGAATATACCTGTAACAAAATGGAGTCTAATCAAAACTTTCGCGAGCCCCATGCAGTACCTCTGCGGACCCCCTAGGGGTCGCAGACCCCGTGTTGAAGACCTCTGGTCTAGATCATAGACCGACCTATTCATTGAGAGCTTTGCCTTTTGGCTCAGCTCCTTCTTCACCACAACAGACTAGTGCAGTGTTTGCATTATAGCAGCAGCAGCACCGATCTGTCTATTGATCTCTGATGAACTGTTAGAAGTACCAGGAGACATTAAAGTAGCCTTGATGCTCTCTAGTAGATATTTAAAATGGGAATTTGCTGGGCTATTCAACTGAGTAAGGTCAAAGATATTTGGGTAAATGTACACAGAAATGCTTCTCCAGACTCAGTATTATCTCTGACCTAAATCCTACCGGAAATCTGGATTGAGCTGAGGAGGGCAGAACAAAAAAGAGGACCCATTACTCTGGATTGTCTAGAGATGAGAAAAGCTTGAAGGCTCCTTTACACTGTATAGACTGACCTTATTAAGTGATGTCATTCTGTCCTGATGGTAAAAAGAAAAGAAACAAAGTTTTGATCACGTAAGAGCTAATAGGAACAATGCCACTGATTTTATTAAAATCCGTGAGTTTTAAAATGCATTTATTTATTTTATATGAACTGAATCTTAGATTAAAGGTTGGATTTCTCAAATATTTCCACAGCAATAAATGAATACATTTTACATTAATCATAATCAGCGATATTTGCAAATGCAGAGGGTGCTATAGGTTGAGGGATAATAAAATAACCTCTTCTTGATCTCTTAAAGGGAAACCCAGGACTACTTGGACCTGCGGGACCAAAAGGGGATCCTGTGCGTAGGTTTAGAAAAAAGAGGGAGAATAATTTAGATACGGTATATATTTTGATTTTCCCTTCATTTACCTTTGTTCCATTTTTCTAGGGAGATCAAGGAGATGAGGGTGAAATTGGTGAACCTGGAGCTCCTGGATCAAATGTAGGACAGTTGGGACAATGTCTAGAAGTGAAAATTAGCTAAAATCTCTCATGAACTTGTCAGAACAATATCTATTTTTTTCTTTTTTAGGGGGCCAGTGGAAAACCAGGAAAGACAGGACCCTCAGGTGATCCTGTAAGATTACTTAAAGCAATTTCATTTTTTAAAATATCTAAAAGGGCTACACCATGTTCAGTTCCCTACTGTAAAACCACAACAATCAGTCTAATGATAGACCTGTATGTCATTTTTGTTATAACCAGGGAGCCAAAGCCAGAAAGGGTGAGAAAGGAAACTTGGGATTTAAAGGGGACCTTGTAAGTTTGATCCTGAATCCCTTTAGCAGATCAGTTTTTCAGCTCAGATCAGTGACTCAGTTATTGGACTCCTGTTTGTGTCCAGGGACCTCCTGGGCCGTTAGGTAAAAAAGGTTTTAAAGGACGTAAGGGTCCAATGGGGCTACATGGACTAGAGGGACAAAGAGGACCAATGGGACTTCCTGGACCCACTGTGAGTGAATAAAGTTGAAATGAAAGCATAAAAGATGATGCTACCACAATAATTTCATCATCTGCTGTTACAGGGGTCTGATGGCATTATGGGGGAACAAGGGAGGCAGGGAAAAGAAGGATTAAAGGTACGTTTGATTAAATGTCCAGAATTACAATGTAAAGGTGAACAATTGACCTTTAACACATTTGTCAATATTTGTGTTTGTGTGTTCACAAATAAAGGGTAATCAAGGACCTAGTGGTATTCAGGGAAGCCCTGGGTCAAGAGGTGACAAGGTAGACACACGATCAATGCTGAACTATCATGCACTGTGCAGAAAGTCATTCTATGCCATATAGTCATTAATAAAAGTCAAACACTAGGTTCAAAATAATTCTCATTTTTTTCATGATTCAGCCATAATATTTAAGGTATCTGGATTTATCAGAGTTGACATGAAGTGGAAGAAAAAAAACATGATTTTTTTTTAAATATACAAAAGAAGTTGTGAAATGTCTTGCAGTCATAAGTATTCACCCTTCATAAATAAGAACTTGGACATGGATGTTATTTTGTAGCTCTGGTTGAACCTTTAGTGTCTTTGTCCTACAGGAAAATTAACCTCCACCACATCTTCGACTTTTGCAGGAATTTTAAACAACACATTCTCCTCATGAGAAAAATAAAGAAATTCTATTCTATCATATTATCACCCTGTATTTAGCATCTGTCTTACAATCAGCCCATACCAGCTTTCCTGTCCGTCATTAATGGTGTTTACACCAACAAGAAGAAGGCAAATGGAGCAAGTGCTTTACATGCTATCCCTATGCAAAGACACGATCAGGAGCCAATTATTGGTCAGCTATGTGAAGGACGCTGTGTTCCTTGGACTTCACTAACATTCTCCAACAAACATCGGAGGCCTTACAGAACAGCTGTAGTTATATTTATAAAATACACACAGGTGTACAAGGAAAATGTTTTTTTTTTTTCCACATCACAGGTCGGCATGTCTTTTTCTTGCTCTAAAAAACAGAAATCAAATCAAATATATTGAAATTTGTGGTGTTGACAGGAAAAAAATGTGAAAAAGCATGAAAGGTCAACTTTGTGTTCTAAAGTAATGTATGAAAGAGAATGAAAAAATGTTGGAATGGGCGAGAGTTGGTTTTTTTTTCAGTTTTTTTTTTTTTTGCTTTAACTATCAGTATAATGCTAAGTGTGTCATACTCCCAGTCCTTGGTGCAGGCTGGGTTTGTCCTTTTTTTTTCTCTCTCTGCAGGGCTGGATGGGCAGGTGCTCCTCATCAGGCTGATTCCCACCCTTTTTAAGGAGCTGGAACCAGGAGGAGGGCGTCAGTTCGTTAATGCTCCAGCGTTGGTACAACTGATCCAGAACCAAGCCTAGCATCTAAGCTTTGCCTGAGTCTAACCCTGTCCTCTCTGCTCCCTTCTTGTAGAATCCAGGATCCCAAGCCTAGAAACCACTCCAGAGACCTCTGCGCTTTGGACCCCCGTTAGAGGCGTTCTCAGTCAGCCTCTAGGAACCAGTGAGGCTTCTGACCTCAGAACCAAAGAAGCCCTCCTGCCTGAGCTCACCTGCCTGTCCACCCTCAGACACCACCATCTGGTCTCACCAATCGGACCTGCACCAATAGACTGGACCACTGGACACCATCCTCCCAAACAGACGCCAAGCCTTCCTCTCTGTGAGTCTCACACATCCCTCACTCCTC